TCATACCTCTCTGACCTTCTTCATCCTTATACTCCTTCTCGGGCTTTGAGATCATCAGACCAGCTGCTTTTGGCCGTACCAAAAACCAGGCTGAAGCTCAGAGGAGATCGAGCGTTCTCAGTTGTGGGCCCTAAACTTTGGAACAATCTGCCCATCAACATTCGACAGGCCACCTCAGTCTCTGCTTTTAAATCTCTCCTAAAAACACATTTATACTCATTGACATTTAACACAGGGTGATCAGCTTTAGATCTGGTTTTTCATTTATGCTGATTCTGTTTATGCTTTTGTTATTATTCCTATTTAACACAAGGTCATCAGATCTGATTTAGTATTTCATTGTTTCTGACTGAGTTTATGCTTTTTGTTATTATTTCCTTGACTTTTGACACAACGTGATCTGATTTAGTATTTCATTGTTTCTAATTGTTTTTGGTTTTATATTTTTATTCCATGTGCTGTAAATATATCTTGCTACTTTTTATCTGATGATGTGATATTTTTGTTAAGCACTTTGGTAACAGTTTCTGTTTTAAATGTGCTCTATAAATAAATCTGACTTGACTTTACTTGACTTTGTTGTCATCTTTCTTTGTTGAAATCAGGTCTCTCTTGTAAATGAGTCCTCGAGGCTCAATGGGATTTACCTGTCTAAATAAAGGTTGATTGATTGATTGATAGTAATGGAGGGAGTATTTTTTCTGGAAATAGTTTATAAATCCCATCAGGTCCTGGGGTTTTCCCACTCCTCATGTTCTGCACAGCTTCTAACATTTCCTTAACCATTACGTGTTTATTCAGTTCAATCTTATCTTGATCTTTTATAGTTGGGATATCTAATTGGTCTAAGAATTCAGTCTGTAACTGCTTGGTTTCTGGATATTCTGATTGATAAAGTGATTCATAAAATGTATTAAAGGAGTAGTTAATTGCAACTGGGTCTATTTCCATGTTTCCATTTTCTAATTTAATTGTGTTTATGGCTCTATCTGTTTGCATTTTTTTTTTATTCTCCATGCAAGAATTTTGCCTGCTTTGTCACCTTGGTCGTAATAAGATTGTTTCAACCAAAGAAGATTTGCTGCAATTTTGTTAGTAGAAAGCTCTCTGTACCTAGTTCTCAACAGCAAAAGTGTTTATGTTTCTCTGGACTATCATTTTGATATACATCCAACTCCAAAACTTTAATCTGAGTCTCAAGATTGATTAATTCATCAAAATGAATCTTAGATTTAAAGCATGTTTAGTTTATGATCATACCTCTAATGTAAGCTTTAAAAGCTTCCCATTTTACACTTGTACTAGTTTGATCTGTATTTATCTGAAAATGTGTATCAATGTTATCACCAAGAAATTCAATAAATTTGGGGTCTTGTAACCATTTTGTTTGGAAGCGCCATCTAGGGGGACATCGTACAAGCCTTGGTATACAAAGAGTTAAGGAGATGGGAGCATGGTCAGATAGAACTATACTATCATAACTACATTCTTCTACCTGAGGTAGTAGACTCATGGAAATCAAAAAGTAGTCACCGCGTGATGATGTTTTATGAGTACTTGAATAAAATGAAAATTCCTTTCTGTTAGGGTGTAGTTTCCTCCAGACGTCAATTAAGTTAAGATCATCTATAAACGGTATCAAGACTTTTCTGGCATGAAGATGAGAAGTATCAATGCCAGTTGAACGATTGTTAGCAGGGTTTAGCACACAGTTATAGTCACCACCAATTATATATTTTCCAGGCATGGTAGATATGGTACGAAAAAGACTCCTAAAAAGGGAATGATTATCTTCATTAGGTCCATAAATGTTGACCAGTGTGATTTGGGTTTCTAATATTGTTCCCTGCATATAATATATCTCCCAGCTGGATCAATTAATTCCTGGTTAAGCCTGAATGGAATTGATTTGTGAATCAAAATAATAATACCTCGAGCTAATTTAGTCAAATGGGGCAGAAAAAAACTTGTCCATGCCATTTTTTTAACTCTAGTTATATCTGTCAGATGTGACTCCTGCAGAAAAATAATTTGAGATTTAAGTAGTTTAATCCTGCCTAGAACCTGTTTTAACTGTCACGGTCAGCGGCCCCCGCTGCCCCCCCATCTGCCTAAGCCTCTGCTCTTCATATCACAGCCCCTGCTTTAAGATCATTCACGTTTTTTCCTGCCTCAGTTTTCTGTTTATTTCATCCTGTTTGGTCCTGCACTGCCTATCACCCATTTTCTGCTCCTGTCACTCTCTCTCAGCAATCTGCACTCATCTG